TGTCCAATTAATTTCTTTCTATTTTTAGTAGAGATGGGGTCTCGCTCTTGCTCAGGCTGGTTTTGAACTCCTGAGCTCAAACAATCTGCCCGCCTTGGCCTCCCAGAGAGCTAGGATTACAGGCGTGAGCCACCGCGCTCGGCCAATAAAAGCAACTCTTTATAAGAAAACAAAAAAAATAAAGTTCACAAGACGCTTTTGCAGTGATGTGCAGAGAAGGAAGACTAAGTGATACTGAAGAATCGTTATAAATGAATATAAAATTGTCCATTGTTCCTAGGCTGGTAAGCTCTGGCAAGTTCAGTTTCTCAAAGTAAGAGTTGACTTGCAGCAGAGAATACCATTTAGGTTATCTAGCATACAAAAATGTTCTATTCTCTCAAGAGGGTTTGACTGTCTGATCAAAAGGGTGGTTGTGTATGAAATGCACCTCAGAAGGAGGAGGAGGAAATGACATGTTCATGTAAATGAAATACAACTGCAAATTAAAGTGTCACCCTGCTAAAAAAAAATCCATTTTTTATTTAATTGGTTGCCAAGGAAAAAAATGTCATACAGAAGTGTATATCTCAGAGAAAGTTAAACCATGAGATGTTACAAGTGAATCTGGATTCAAGGAAGTTCTTGGCAGGGGTTGGGGGGGTGATTATAAAAGATTGCCTTAATAAAAATATTCTGATGATGTGAAGCTAGGCTCATAAATTTCTGCTGTGTTACATGCCAGGGGGCCAAAAGAGATTAACAAATATTACCTAATTTGTTCTTTACTGTCTCTCTCTCTATCCAATCGGCTGTATGCTAGCTACCTCTTCTCTGGAGGAAGCCTGCTTTTGAGATGCTTTATTAGCAAGAAGGTCATATACAAAGGAGCTTTATCTCAGAAGGCACTGCTTACTACCAAGGCATCCAGGGACTGAAATGCTACTGGCTTTTCTGTGTTAATGGTATCCTCTCATTTTTCACTTTTATTTTCCCACATTTTTATGAAAACTCATCTGTCTGTTTAGATTATGAGCCTACCAGAAGAGTGTATGCACACTACTTGCCACACTGTTGGTGCTAAATAAATGTAACAATGGGAGGGGCTGATGAATGGGATTATATTTCCATGTAGCATTGTTCCCTGAGAAATATGTCTGGTTTCTCTTTGAGACAAAGACTCGCCAGATGGGACTCGTCAGTGTTCTTCAGCCTTAGTTGTAGCTCTTCCTCTTCTCCCTCTCCTACTAATCCCAGTATTGTTTTTTGTTCTGCAATGGAAACACATAGATAAATAATATGATGTGCTCCTTTTGTCTTCTCACTCACCAGGGGCAGTGATTGGTGATGGACAGTCTGCTGTGGCCAGTAACATTGCCAATACAACCTACCGGCTCCAGTGGTGGGACTTCACTAAGTTTGACCTCCCAGAAATCAGTAATGGTAAGCCAATGTAGGATGGGGGTACTAGTGGAAGGGTGAGCCAGAACTCAAAATTTGTGTAGCACTGGATTTTTCATCATCTCATTGAGCAGTTGATAGCCATGTGCTGTTTCTGCATCTACTCTGCAACTTTCAATTAAGCAATTCAGCAAACAAGTCTTGAGCACCCACCCTGACCAGCAAACAATGTTAGGTTCTGAGGTCTCTGCCCTGAAGAGTTTGTGGACTAATAGTTCATTGGCCAAAACCGAAAAGTTTAGGTAGAACTGAGAGGAGGAGAAAGAGAAGGGTGTATAGAACTGAGAGCTAGACCTTGTGACCCTTTAGCAAAGACTGTAGTGATGTTCATTAAACTCATTGATTAATCTAGATCTAAATGGACCGAAGTGAATGGTATGGTTAATATCTGATTTACAGACATGTCTATCTAACAGTTCAATTTCCTTGCTTCTAGAGAAGTATGCAGTCCCATGTCCCAATTGTTCTATTGGAATCACAACATTTTAGACATTTCACTTTCTATCTAATGAAGGACCCTCTCTTACACATTCCTAAGAGTGGTAGTCAGCCTCTGCTTGAATACTAATGATGATAGATCACACTGTTTGACAAGATGACCTATCACTGCTAAATTTCTGTTAAAATGTTCTTGTTCTGAGCCACCATTTCCCTCGTCACTTTCTCCCATTGGTCCTACTTCTGTATCTGAATCACCATAGAGTGAGTCTAATGACAGTCTTCCAACTATTTGAAGATAAACTGCTATTTCCCTTTCTTTTCAAGCAAAACTTCCTTAGATTCCTTTTACTGATCTGGTTTCCAAATTCATGACAGTTCTGCCCATCTTCCCTTTTAACTTTGAGGGGACCAGAAAAGAATGGAAAACTCTAGATGTGAGCTGTTTAGTACCTAATGTGGTGATGCTTTGGACAGTATTGGTTCAGCCTGTGATTACAGCAGCTTTTTCAGAAGCCACTATTGAGTTTTCAGTCACTTAAAATTACTTGATAATTGTTATTAAACCAGGACTCAACCATCCTGTAATTAGTTAGTTGTACAGCTTAAATCTTTTAAAAACCAAAGCAAGTTTTTGTGTTTGTTTCTATTAAATTTTATCTTAGTGTCAATTGTAGTTCCTAGTTCTTGCCTCTCAATATCTATTTCAACTTTGATATAGTCCTACTTGCTCAATTTTACCATCATCTACTAATTTGATAAAAAATACTTTCTCTGTCTTCCTTCAGATTGTTAGCAAAAATGGTGAATCAGTCAGGACATTTGCACCACGCCTTGTGGTATGTTACTGTGGACTTCCTCTGTGTTGATTTTGGTTCATGAATTAGAACCCTGGGCGTGGTTGTTGACATCTAAAGCCCACCCTTTTTCTATCTTGTCTGTAGGGTAAGAGTTTGTCATGTGCCTTAAAATGATTAAGATATTCTCTTGTCTGTGGCATTTCCTGATATTACCAGTCTTGGTATCTTTATCAGACAAGGAAAATGAGGATAATTTTTCATTCCTGTTTCCAGTGAAACCTCGGTAGCAATCATCCATTTCTTTCTAAGTGCTTATAAGCCACATGTCCAATAATCTGTTTTTTAATTCTGCTGGGAATCAACTGCAACCCACCTTTCCCCTTTTTGAAATCCAAGTTTGCTTGTTCATCTCTAGATTTCTGTTCCAGATCTTGTTGGCCATATTTATTTAAATTAATTTTGTTTTGTCCCTTTGTTTCTTTCATTGTCATCTGAAGTAGATAATACATTTACCACTCAAAAATTTTAGAAATATAAAAGGATAATACAGTAAGAATCCTCCCAATGCTGCTCCCAGTCACCCACTGCTCCTCCCCATAGGCAACCACCATTAACAGTTTCTTGTATATCTTTTCAAACATACTGTATATATATATAAGCAAATGCAAATTTATGTTTTTCCACCTTTTATTTAACTCAAATTCATACTCTTTTGTACTTCCTACACTTTCTTTACTTTGCAGTCTATCTCAGTGATATTTCTGTATCAGTATATAAAGAGAGTTTACTTGTTCTTTTTTTTTATGACTGACTACTATTGCGTTGTATGAATATATCATAATTTTTTAACAGTCTCCTATGAAAGACTTTTAAGTTGTTTTCACTCTTTTGCTCTATAAACTGCTGCAATTTGTTGTTCTGCACATGTACAAGTGTATACCTATAGAATGCATTCCTAGAAATGGAATTGCAGGGAGGAAGAATGTGTGCATATGTACTTTTGGCAGCTATTGCCATACCACACTCT